CCATGGGTTTTTTTATAATCAGCATGGGAACACCATGGGGTTTTTATAATCAGCATGGGAACACCATGGGGTTTTTATGATGAGCATGGGAACATCATGGGGCTTTTACGATCAGCATGGGAACACCATAGGGTTTTTATACTCGACATGGGACTATAATGTGATTTGTATGCGGACACCATGGAAACACCACACAAACACTATTCAAATTTTGAACACTGGGATTTCCACTGATATGGCATCTACACAGGTACACTTAGAGGCTTTGTTGTATTGTAAAGCACATTAGCTGCTGCCATTAAAATTCATTGGCATGAATTATAGTACATGCAAAATCCCATGGGTAAAAATCCCATGCTACATGGTGGCCAATTCACCATGTAATCCCATTTTCCCATGGGATACCCTCATGGGATATTTTTGAAAGGGTTGGTCCTCTGTAAACATTTGACAGTAATAATTCCACTGGAAAAATGGTACTATAAAAATCCACGCATGTTGTGAGAGTTCATGAATACAAACCTTCACAGCACATCAGTTCAAAATCTGAGATAATAGAGGTGTTGTCAAGGTTACGCCTCTTACTTGTGCTTCTTGATATCCAAGATGCCATTTTTCTGGTAGCCAATCCTCTCAGCTGGATTGTCACGGCAAAGTTTCTTGATCAGAGTAGCTGCATGGCGGGGGATCTTCCTTGGAAACTCCACTATGTCAATGCCTTTAAGAATGATGTTGTATGTCTTCATGGGGTCAGCAGAAGTGAAAGGTGGGCTGAAACAGAACACCATATCCACATGGAAATCAATTTATTATAACGACAAGCAGAATTCATGCATATAGTTAAAACGATGGGCAATACGGGAGGATAAATGTACTTCCCTCTCGCCATCCCCCCTCCAAAACACAAGAAAACTGAACAAAGACAAGCTGTCCATTGAATATCTCCCTGATTTGTTCATGGCTGATAACTTCAGGTACATGTACACGTGTGCTACTGGTCATTGCTTGTCCCTCCCTCATGAAATCATGGCATACCCATGCTCAAAGTAATGATGTGTGAATGGCTGAATGAATCCTAGCCTGTTTTCAGTCCAAGCAGTGGCTTAGGCCAATTTTTGCCATCTTAGTCACCCCCCCCCCGGAAAAAGGAAGTAATAGGATATTGATTGAAGCAATGTACAATATGAGGGAGTTGACATGGTTGTTATGGCAATCATATCCACACACATAACATACTAGCTGAATTCTACTCCTTTTTCTTAACTACAAGGTTTTTTCCCTAGTTGTTGGACAGAAAAGAAGCCACTCCTTCCTGAAAGTACAAATACATGTACAATGCAACTTCCCAAGTCTGACAAAGGATGCAGAGGATTCTTAATCCCTAAAAATTCCATGATATTGGTAGCAACAGTTTGCTAAGCCGGTCAGTCACCTCAATTGGCTTTGAAGCCGCTTGTAGGCAAACTCAGAAACTGACACATGTGCTCAGAGTAAGGATTGATCTAGAACCAAATTTTGGGAAAGGGGCCTCTACTTTCTGTTTTGTTTTGTTTTGTTTTCTCTTTTTTTACTTTTTATGTGACCTTCAATGGCCTTTCTGAAGTTTAAGACAACATTTAGAGCCAGACTTTTGACTCATTCAGGTTCTGGAAATAAGGGAAATGAAATAATCAGTCAAAGAAACAGACTCTGATTATTTCTTAATCTTTCTCCTTTCGGGGCATGGCCTATTATCTCTGAGGAATAACTTAAAAATAAGTTTCAAAAGAGTTAATCTGAAAGACAGGTTGAGGAAAGGTTTTCATCCTGGACAACTCCACTGGTGCCAAGCCATCCACTGTGGTTTTTTAGTCTAAGAAAACAATAAAAAAACAGTCCCTGTCAAGAGAAATTTGGCTTTGTGGAGGATACTTTAATAATTTGCTTCAAGGATTCACACCCAGAACATCAAATTTCCATGGCAAACTAGTCCCTGATAACAAGGAACTGTACTGTTTGTGGAGTTTGGTTATTTAAATGCAAGAAAAAATTTACTGGCCTCAAATTTCGATTTAAAAGTTCCACAGGAAATTGCCCACTGAACATTTCTGTGGTAATTGATATCATTGAAACTTTTCCAGTAGTAAAGTCTCACAAAGCCTTTCCACTCACTTGCCAGTGAGAAGTTCAAATATCAAGATGCCCAGTGACCAGTAGTCAGCAGCATAGTCATGTCCTTTATTCAGGATGATCTCTGGAGCAACATATTCTGGTGTGCCACAAAATGTCCACGTCTTACGACCAAAACCAATGTACTTGGCAAACCCAAAGTCTACCTGTTAATGGAATGAAAAATATTGTGTCTTTCTAAGAAAGTGTTAAATGCTGGTTCATGGGCAAGACATATGCAATCCAAGGGCTCCAGTGGATGAGGGACCGAGGAGATGGGAGAATGGACAAGCTCCAAGGTTTCAAAGCACTAATTACTTGATATCACCACAGGCACCCTAAGATGCAAGTTGCCTTACCAGCTTAACAATGCCATTTGAATCAAGGAGCAGATTTTCAGGCTTGAGATCACGATAAACAATCCCTTTACTGTGCAAGTAGGAGAAGGCTTCAACCACACAGGCAATGAAGAAACGTGCAGTGTGGTCATCAAACGACCCTCTGGAAATAAAAAGTACACACCGAAGATACATAAACTGTAACTACATAACAATGGCAATAATGTTATCAATGATTTATTACACGACTCATGTTACAAATGCACCTGCCCATACTGAATTACAGACAAGCTTTTGCTTGCTGCTATGTTCCGCATCATAAAATTTGATTATCTTGTTTCAAAATATCAAATTTTATTCTACATTTATTAAAAAATTGGGCTGCTGAGAGTTACACATTATGTCATGTGTAGATCAGAAGTATTAAACAGAAAAAATTCATTCAACCACATGACTTTTGCTCTCTAATAATTTGAAAAATTACAAATTAGACCAAGTTTTAATCAATTGGAAAAGAAACTTGCAAACCTTGGAATTTTACTGTTCAGATCCTAGCCATTATTAAAAATATTGAATCAGTGCTCATCAGTAACTACACATTTTTAGGTACAGGTTGCAAATGCACTCTTTTACAATCACTCTTTTACAATCAAAATACTGCACTTGAAAGCAGTAGTTATCCACCATTAGGCATCTGAACAGAGCCACCTTTGCCTAACCGTATATTCAAGAGGGAAGTCTTTGCCATCCAACCCCCTATTTATATCACCCTTTCTTGCACCTGTCTCTGAGAATGGTCCACAGTTCACCTCCTAGACACACTTCCATCAGCATGTACACATACTTGCTGTCCTTGAATGTCTTGTATAATCTGGAATGAAGCATCAGGCAGAGTTACATAATGCACTAATAGGTATAATAAGATAAGAAGCTCCAAATCTGCAGTAATCAGTGTTAGGTTTTCTTTCAGTTGTTACTAACAAGCACAGTACAAGGACAACCCATCAATCATGTGCTCCTAAAGGCATACTTATCATCTCATTTACACCTTATGGGCTGATTATAGATGGGTTTATCCTTACCCCTACAGTGTATGTGAAATCATATTGAAATCGGAGGATTTAGGACTGTTCATTTCCTTCCTTCATATCTTGTAAAAGCCCCGTGCTTCCTTGCTAATTTTGTTCACTTGATTCCCAGTGCTTACTTTTCCCTTTTAGTTTAATCAGTTACCCAAAAATCTGAGGACAATGTAACCAGAGTGGCAAGGCTACAGTAAAATTGAGTCAGTGACTCAAATCTTTCTTACGAAAGTTACAAAAATTTATTCTCTCCCTGTCGCAAGGGTTAATGCAGGTTCACATTTTGTACAATTGGATGCGACTATGTGTATATCAAAAATAAACGACAGCCTTATTAGTTATATACGTCGGTCATCTATGAGAGATTAAAAAATCGAAAATCTACATTAGCCTTTCAGCCGTATCTCTTCATGTACATGATTAACAACTTGGCACACATACAGTTCATAAATATTAAGCTGTCAGTGCACATATATGTAGATGTATTAAATGGTTTACACTGATCATACTCAATACATGGCCAATCATATTTATAACCGGCTCTATAAAAAAGGTGTATAATGTAATTTTTTAAGTAGCAAGGTGATTTAATGCCTCGAACTAGTTACTGGCGTGACCTTAAAATGGTAGTAGCACTGGAGAGAGTTACTCCCGGTCACTTTTGCTTGAGCAGCCGTGGCGTTTGGTTGGAAAAGAGAAAATCTGTCTGTTTTGCAGAGAAGCACTGCCGCGTACTGTCATTTTTTATTCCGAGTTACTACCCCGCCAAACTTACCCTCACGCCCTAAAGCAGAGTTCCCTT